AACAAAGCATTGATTGTCAATCAGTTTATTCACTTCGTTTAACAAATGTCATCAAGTCAGTTTATGTGGTGTAGATCACAGAAAGTGCCTTCCCAGGCACCTTACAAAATAAAACAAAAATAACCAGTTCAATAACATAGACTTAAGTTTAACAATGTCTTTATTATTTACTATTAATTCTGGCATTACTGGCATTATAAAACAACATAATTTTTTATTTTTTCATTTTCTTAAGGATGTAGAGCTAATTAAATGACAATACTTTCATACATTATGAATAATATCTATATCTTCATCAATTATAGGAGGAACAAAAGAAATAAGGAGACATGAAAAACAACATGATCAACTATAATAAAAATACCATTTGCAATGTATATGTAAGAAATTTAATTGAGCAAAAGTCAATAACAAACAAATGAATTAGGTACATAATAATAATAATTCAGGTTGTTACAACCAGGGTTGTTAAACAGATATAAGCAAAAATTCATTTTTTTGTTTTTACAGTGCCATGAGACTTTGTTGTAGAGTCTTATATATAGAAAAAAAATAAGATGAAACTATTTAATCTATCAACAAGGAAATTTTCCTTTGACTCTAAAACGATAAATCATATTCATGAATCACATTATTATTATTATTATTATTATTATTATTATTATTATTATTATATTATTATTATCTGTGGTGACGATACAAAAAAAAGTAGCCTGCAGAAACTTTACGTGGCATACAATGATGGCATGAGGCTACTACTCAAAGTGCCTAGATGGAGTAGTGCTAGCCATATGTTTGTACATAATGCTGTTCCCACATGTGCAGCTGTGCTCAGGAATCTTATGTATAAATGCATGTGTAGATTATCTGTGTCATGCAATAATATAATTGCAATTTTAGTAAATCCTGCTTTTAGTACTGTGAGATTCTCTTCAACATGATGGAATCATTGGCGTCATCATTGATTTGTGACTCGGTGAATAATATCATGTCATGTTTATTTTTAGTTTTCTTTTATTTTGCTTGTTTTTACCTTTTTTCTATGGACCTTTTTAGTGTCTGGAATAAAGATATGATTGATTGATATGATTGATTATCAACAATTTGTGAATAGAGCAAAATACTTAGCATGCTATAGGTAAATATTATTTAGTTTGGTTAAGAATAATTATTGCACTGTCAATAAATGACGTCTAGTAGATGTTCTTAGTTGCCAGAGGAACACAGTAACACCTTCATGAGCTCAGAGGTTCAAACTGATGAAAAATGAGGATGGATGCTCCCTGCTAAAGTATTCCTGCCATCTTCCATGTTCTTTCAGCAAACAGTTGAGACAGAGTTGTCTTTGGTTTCTCCACTATTTACCTGCTGTTATACATGCCATTCAAAGTATTCTTAGAAGATTCTGTTAGTCTGCTCATGTGACCAAACCAACTGAGGAGATGAAAAGTTAAAACTTGATTTAAAATGTTGTTTTAACTTGATTTGCGTTAAAACTCAAGCAGCAAAATTTCCAAGTCTTGACCAATCCGCGGTAATAAAAAGTTTGGGGACCACTGCTGTAGATGGTAAAAAGTTTTCTATTTTCAGGGAAGATACTGTTTTAAGACAAGCATATTCAGGTAATAGATGTGACTTTGAAGAGCTTACCTCATTGTTTCCTTATTCAGACATATAAACAGGGGAAAAAAAGGTTAAATCCTCTCTATAAGAGGCAAAACATTGACTAAATTACTTAAAATGCCTCCAAAAAAAAAAAAAGTCAGCATGAGGAGGCAGAAAAGGCTCCAGATTGGAGAGGAACGCCCATCCCTGAACCCGAAACAACCACCAGGCGGAAGTGAAAGGAAACGACCTCGGTCAGGAGCTCCAGGCGGCGGCGGAGACATGAGCGCTTCAAGCTTTAACTCCGTTCTGCTGGGCATTTCAAATATGCTCAAAGAGGAAAACCTAGAACAACTCAAGTTTCTAGTTCGAGACCACATTGGGAAACAAAAGTTGGAAAGGATCAAAACAGGACACCAATTGTTTGAGATTCTGACGGAAAGAGGCCAACTAGGAAAAGACAAAGCAAACTATCTATGTCAGCTTCTGCGGCAGGTCCAGCGAGATGATCTATCCGAGAAGCTAAGCAACTGGGAGGTCCAGCAAGAAGACCCCAAATACGGCTTGAGCGACACCGAGAGAGGTAAAGACACTTGGAGAGCGCGGTTTCACTTTCTGTCCTGGTCAGGGCCGGTGTTCTGTCAGATCAGCATACGTTGTCAGATAGTCATGC